AAATTTTTATTAAAGTGATTTAGACAATATAGAGCTACAGGATTGCACAGAGAAACTAGACGGAGAGACATACTAACAGAAAAATATGAAAAATTAAAATAACTTTCTCAAAAAACTTTATCTACGTTTCATTACTGTGTAGAAGGGAATTTCCCCCAAAAACTCGACATCTGAGATGATACTATCACATTTTGTGCGGACGGTAAAAAAATAATATAATTAAAAATTAAATATGTTCTTATCAAAGAAGACCAAAAATCTTCCATTTTAAAGCAGAACTTAATTCAAAATAAAATTACTTTACGACAATATTTTTAAATTGAATACTTTCCAAAAAATATTAATACATGTTCTTATAGTAGTTCAAATCTAATAAGACACTTCTATTCATAAAATAACAACAGTGAAACATCTTGTATCCATGATTTGTTAAATTTTTTTAAAAATAAACCATAAAAAATTTGACTCTAAAGAAACTGATTGAACTCCTTGAATAAATAATTATAAACACGGCCTGTATGTATTATGTATTTTATTATTACTTTAGGGAATCATTTAATATTCTACATTTTTTTATTAATTTTCAATTTGTTTCTCATTTGCTTCAAGGAATAATATGTAAATATTATGAAATTTATGTCCATATTATAGATTTTGTGTGCATCCACTCTTTACTATATGTTTAATATGCGGATTAATTCAATTTATGAATTATAAATCAATAATATTCTAATATATATTCCAATCAGAATATTGACGAATTATCAGATAAACTCAGTATATCAGAAACAATATTCTATATACATATTATGTACATACATATGTTATTTATAATTCACATGAGGACATTATATTGGAATAACTCTGGGAAAATATTTAAATATTTTAATTTTTTATTGAATTTATCTAGAAATTTATTGAATGTGAATTGAATAAAATATGTATAAGACAAATATTTTTCTTACTTATTTAAGTACAACTAACTAACTCAAATTTTGAACTTGCAGTAATACAAAATTCAGCTTAAAAATTGTAATTGCTGATTTATGTACCAATACACAGTATATTACTGCAATTTGGAAATATTAGTACATGTTAATTTCTGTATAAATTTTGCAGGATTCAATTCAATGGTCTAATGTGATTGTAATTGATAACAATGAACTTTTGGCTGAAAAATTCATTTATAGCTTTTACTCTCCATAGATTTACATTACTTTTGATATTAATGTAATAAATATGAACATATCTTGAATTATAGCGTAATTTCAAAAAATTGTAGAAAATTACATATATACAGCACAACGTAATTGTCTGACTCTGCTCTAATTCTATACAATGCTGCTTGTATTATAATTAACATAATAAATATAAAGAAATCTGAAATGAAACTTAAAAAAATAATAAAAGTGAAAATATATAATTTGCCTTTCTTAAATAATTTTCTATTCGAATATTTGTTCATGTATAGTACAAAACATTGAAATAACAATGATTTAATGTGTAAGAAAAATCAATTTTTAAAAATTATTACTAATTAAATCAAACCGTATCAAGAAAATTATAATTTTTTTTTATATTACCCATTCAATTATTTGCACGCTCAAAAATTATAATTAAATAAAAGGCATAGACGATAGCCATTTATAAAAAAGCCTGTAAACAAAATTTTTCATATCAGTGTTTTTAAAAGTATGAATGACCAGTGTGTTTAATTATTATTTACATTAATTATGGCCATTACAATTATATTTTAAAATATTTTAAATTATTATAAATTCAATTGGAATTTTCTAATGTAAATTTTCTCTTTTGTTTATACTGCTATTTTGTAGCCATAATATACTTATTGTATTAATTCGAATGGTCTCTGATCCCTAATCTTGTAAATCTTGTATTAATATACAAAAATGTAAACGAGATATACAAGTATATTAATAAACTGTTGAAATCAGACTATACATAGGAATTCTTTATTTAAGAATTAAAGCAATTTCTTCGTTCATTTTTAGACTCGACTTAATTTCAAAATCACAATAAATTCAAGTATATTTACTAATATATATATAATACAATTTTGTTTACCTATAACTAATATAGACTGTAAAATATCAAAAATGAAAGTAAAAATAAACGAGTTTTAAAAAATAATAATATCAAATTAATTCAATTTTTTGAATTTCGAATGCATTCTTGTTTGAAAATCATAATTACAGTCATCTTATATAAGAAATTTTATTTAATTTTAACCATGCCTAAAATTAAATAAATTATCATTAAAAATAATTATAAAACACTGGTTTAAACCGTATACATTAATTAACATTTTCTCTTCGATTTGGAAGTGTGAAAAGATAAAAATCATAAATTAAATATATGTACATAATGTTTTTACAATATCCATAGTATATTAAATTTATAATTTATTAAAAGTTTTGGTATATTTTCATAAATGGTAATATAACATAATAAATGTTGATATAATTTTGATTTATTTGTATGATAAGAAAAAATTTTTGATATTAATTAACCAAAAAAAGATCAAATACTTAATGTGAATATTAAGAAATAAATTTTCTAACTTCACGATGTCTTTTTATTTTTGTAAAGGTATTTAAATATGAAATATTACGTATAGAATTTTGTTATTGCGATATGTAAATATTTATTGGCCTTATTAAAAATTATTTTAGATTTTAACTAGAAACGCGTACGCATACCACATTTTCTGAAAAATCTTGCTGCAACATCAAATTGAATTGCCAAGCAGATCCTATTTTTCAATTTTTCTACTTTATTGTACAAACTTCACTGTTTTATCGTATGTAAAAATGTACTGATGAGTTGTGTAAAAGTTAAACTAAGTGCCTTCAATCCAACTGATAGAATACACTTACAGCCTATATTATTCCCTATTTACTATCTACATTCATGAATTTATTTTAATATAAAACTATGCAAAATTTTTCATTCAGATTAATCTAAAACCACTTACAATTGATTAAAACTCAATTAGTTATTCGAATTTTATTCACTCTTTTAATTAAGATCTATTCTTTTTTCAAAATTAATCAGCATATTGTCACCCACAGGAATTTCAAAATAATTATTTTATATTTACATTAAATATTTCAAATTATTTTTTCTTTAATAATTTTTAATTTTTTTTTTTTGGTTTAAAATTCACTACTATAAATATCAAAAATTAAATTGACTTTATAATTTACATGTACGTATATCAGAATATTCACTTTAAAAAAACAAAGTTAATAACATTTTATGAATTCTTTTCGCCGTTCAATACTAAACTAAGAAAACAGTCTTGTTTAACAAAAGTAGTTTAAACATAAAATTAAAAAAAAATCTAAAAAATAACAAAAAAAAAGTAATTTAAAATAATTTATCAGGTGAAAATAAATAAAAAAACATGCACCACTATACCGTATGACCCCTTTAACGTTTCTGTTGCTTTGAATCATCAATAAGTATCAACATATACCAATCGACATATGCATATATGTATATATGTATAATATCTATAAATATATGTAATTATCATAACAACTATTTATAAATAATGTAGCAATACAGGTAACAAAAATATAACAGATAACAGAATTTTTACGCATACTTTACAGATAAATACATATATGGAGAATTCACAAGTACATAAAACAACAAAAAAAAAAAAATTATTTAATGCTTAAATGTTCGACGTCACTTAACATTTTTTATCGAATCCATGCCGCTTGTGTAAAAAATCATAATCAAATTAAAAAGCAATTTTTGAAATTTTTAAAAAAAATATAAAATGTTAGTAACATTGTTTCAGGAATCTATTACAGATATCTAGTGTAGTTAAAAAAATTATAGCCTTAGAAACGTTTTCAAAATCATTCACACTTAGAAATTGTTAATCATATTTAAAAAGTAGGGGCAATTGATCGAAACAATTAATTTATTGAAATTCAAATTAGTATAGAATGGCAGTGTTTGAATTTCAGTTAACCTACCTTGGAAGAAAACAGAAAAGTATTAATTAAAACCTATTTAAAGCTATTTACAAGATTAAAATCCTATTGGAATATTTCGATGCAGCAGTATTTTCGATACATTCTCGATTTTATAAATATTACGTATTATAACATATTAAGTATCTGCATGTAAACATAATTATAAATAATAAAAATGTTCATAATTAAACATTTTATTTTCTTTCTTTTTTTTTTCAAAAAAACTCTGTACATATCATAAAATTATCATCGACGTCACATTTTTGTTAATTGATGATGAAACTTGAAAAAACCTACATAAAATGACGAACGGATTCCAAAAGGTAAACAAAAACATTTTGTTTTAATTAAGAGACTAAAATTTAGTGCAAAGAATTTAAGAAACTAAAAGCAAATTATATAAAAATTATGCATTAATAAATAAGACATAAATAGACATTTCAAACAGTAACTATGTCATGGGCCCAGTGTCGATTTAAGTTAGTGAAAAATCAAAATTTTATTGCTAAATAAGCCAAATTAATTTTAAATTTTAATTGAGTTAGAAAGCCATACTCTCCCGACAAAAAAAAAAATATCGTAAATTTGTTTTATAACTTTAAAATTTTACATACTTAATTCTAAATTTAATTATAAGTAACTATTAAACCCTGAAAAACGTAGAGCATCTTCAAATTTTGTGTTATATTTAAACTTTGGACATAACCTTTCTATGTTATTTTACTTGAAATTAAGCTGAAACTGTTTTTCTGTATAAAATTTAATACTTTTGATTCAAAAATCCCGACCGCGTAAATTTTTTTTTAACTTTATAGACTGACTGGTTATAGACTAACAATAAAAAAATAAAATTATGAATATTTTCGAACAATTTACTTTCTACATTCATAAATTTTCCCAAAAAAAAAAATTATACGTACATACTTATAAAGTGTGTATATAATATTATCATTTTATTATTTTATTTATTACAAAACAGTTACTCACAGAATATTCACGTGAATCATCGCTTATCTCTCTACCGCATATTGACCAATTAGTTATAGCATCCGGTGGATAAACTTTTGCACAAAATGATACAATTGAACCTGGAAAACCCAATACAGGTTGAGGTTTCTTTAAAATTTCTAAATCATAATCATTATAATTTAATCGATCTTCTTCAACAATTAAGTCGCAATATGTTGAACATGATCCATTTCTTGTCATTACAGTACATGAATAACGTCCTGCATCTAAATCGAAAGTGTCCATAATTCTCAATGCTAAAATTCCATTACCATGATCGATAAATCTGTGATTTAAAAAACAAAAAAATTTATTTTACGCATTTATGTATGTATACATTGATAAAAATATTGGTGCTCTTTATACCTAAATTCATCATTATTTAAGAGCATTTCGTCATTTCTATACCATATATATGAATATGGTTCAAAACTTTCGATTTCAAAACTTAAATCAGTTATTTGACCTTCAATTGTTCGAATTTGTTTTGGTAATTGCTTTAATATAATTGGTTCAGTTTCCGGAATGTCATTATTATGATCATAAAATGCAACTGAAGTTGTCGTACTTATTATACCATCTTCATTTTGGGCTATACATGTGTAAATGCCTTCGTCTGATTTATCAACATTATCAATTATTAAAGAATGTGTGTAATTATCAATTACTTCGAAATGTATTCTGTTGGATTCTTCTACTTCATCTCCATTATGATAATATTTTGATGAAGGTACTGAAGATCCACGGAATGCACTTGCCAACGCTAAACGACCACCAATTTGTGTTGATGGACCCATTATTCTTCTTGACATATGGAAACCACTGCGTGATCTTGAACTGCTACGAACCGCGCGTGTTGATTTTGATCTATCAGGACGTGGTTTTGCTATCACATCGAGTCGAGCTGTAGCTTCAACTCGTCCAAAATCATTTTCTAATGTAACTCGATAAAGACCAGCATCATCAAAATTAACATCTTCAATTTCTAAAAATCTTAAATCATCACGCTCTTTTATAATTATTCTTGATGTTTGTGCAACTATCATTCCATCCTTATCCCATGTCGCCCATGGCATTGGATGACCTGCGATAGCACATTGAAACTCAACCGTATCACCTTCTTCAACAACTCTTCCATTTGGAATAGCATAGAATTTCGGCGCAGCAAAACGTCTACGTTCTGTTGATAAATCAATACTTGTAGCACGATACGATAATCTTAATGGTGATACATTGCGAATCGGAGTAGCTCTTGGTGTTGATCTTGGAGTTGAGGTTGTTGATAAGAACCCTGAAGGTCTATGTAATTGTTTACTTAACATATTTTCTTTTTCTTCAGGTACATCAACTAGAACACAAGCTGAAGAAAATGATCTACCAATATTATTTTTAGCAATACAAGTATATTCTCCTTCATCTTCTGGATAGACACGCAATATGGATAATGTAGCCTTTTCACCATCATATCTCATTTCAAAGTCTTTACAAGTACTTGATAGAACTCTACCATCTTTCTCCCAAATAATTATTGGTTCAGGAACAGCATGAACATTACATTCTAATGTGATTGCATCTCCATCACAACATCTCATATCCTGTAAACGCCTTTCAAAAGTTGGTATTGTTTCAACATTGCTAAAAATCAAAATATAAGCAATTAATAAAGAGATGTACCAAAACTACTAAGCCAAACTTACCCATGTTTAATAGATGCCTTGTCCATTGGTTTTGATATATCTGAAAAGATAGAATCACATGGTATAAATGGTCACAAATAACTTTATAGAAATTTCGAATAAGGTATTCTTCAAAAATAAAATTGCAAATTTAAAATATGCCTTATTTTCCTTAATTAATTTTGGGAATATCATAATCCCATCAAATAGAAATGTTTTTTCACTGATCAAATGTAAGATCGAGCCAATATACTTTTTTAACATACAATGTATTTACCGTTGTTTTGTTTCAGACATATTTAGATTTAATTTAGTTCAGTCAACAGAATAACACAGCTAATCTGCTTGCATTACTACAGAGGCATTTGTACTACAATTGAATGCCTGATCAAAAACTTATTTCTTCCATATCGTAATGTAAATTTACAAACAGTAATTCCATCTTTGAACTCTTTGAACTCACAAATTTTTGTATTCGAAAAGCAATCGTAACATAAAACGGCTGAAGTAATATATAAGTAACCAGCCGACTGCTTAGCTAGCGCTACGCCGGCTTTTAGCTTTTAAATACTAAATTTATACATGTTTTTATAGGCTGTTTTATTTCGTTTTTTTTTTCAGATGTTTTAGTGGAAAAGTGTCTTAAAAGTATGTATTTCAAGTTAAATACATATGTATGTAAATATAATATTATGTATTTCAAAAATAAAAAAAAAAAATTTGAAATTTTTTATAATTGAAACAAAATATTAAATCTTAAAATTTCAGTGCTGCCATATCAACTTCTAAAAATAAAACGACGCCCGTTTAGTTGACGTTGACAAATGACGCGCATCTGCCTAGCATCTAAATTTAGACACTTGCTTTCATTTTTTTTTGTAAAACTAAACATAACCAACACAGCGTAGAAAGAAAGCGATTGAATTTTTTTTTTTATGAAATAAACAAATACATAATTTTTAAAAATAGATATAAAATGGAAACTATACTAGAAAAAGGATTCAGCAAAGCTGATACTGAAACATTACCAAAAATATCAAGTGAAATGATTGTAACTTATGTAACAAAATTGGCGGATAAAGGATTGAAGCCAGTTACAACGAAGTAAGTACTTGCCTACTTATACAAAAATAAAATGAGCACATAAACAAATAGTTTTTAAATATTTTTAGGGATAAATTAGATGAAAGAAAATTCAAAGTGGATTTTGTTCAAGTAAAAAGAACAAAAAATTTATGTGAACTAAAAGGAACATATTTTAACCCGGAAGATATAGAAGAAAAATTTCAAGTATTTTTAATTTTGAATGAAAATAAAAATGAGGTAACGAGCGCTAAATGTGAGGAATGTAATCAAGAAACAGGTAAGATGAACAAGAATGAACATATTTAAATAAGAGAAATTCAAAAGAAGTTTAAAAAAATTTTAGGTCCGTGTGAGCATGCCATATCATTTTTGTTTTGGGTTCACAGGAGGTCCGCAGATAAAGAATACAAAGTGTATTGGTCTTCTGATAAAGATAACGAAGAAGTAATTGAATCCACTGATGTTATGGACGACGATCAGTATCTTCCTGCAGTACAAATAAAGCAAATCTTTATGGATGAAAGTATATTGGAAAATGAGGAAATTGAAGATTTCACAGAAGAAGATGGAGATTTATTCTTAAAAAATGTTTTAGATGAAATGGAACGCATAGGACTTACTGAGTCGGCCTTATATAAACATTGCCGCCCATCGATAGATGAATTTGAACCAATCTATATCCATCATACAATGCTTGATAATGCGAATCATTATGTAAAAGACTTTAAATCATTTGTTTTTCATATGGAAAGTCAGGGAAGTGAAGCATTTGAAAAATTATCCGAAGTATCAATTGATAATTATAAAAAACCAATTTGGATGGAAACTCAATATGGGCGCATAAGATGTTCATTAATGCATCGAATTTCAACTCGAATTGATGTAAGTCAAGATGAAGCCATTATTGATTCTATATTGTGTCAAAATCGTGAATGGAACATTGAAGAAAAAAAACAATTAAAAGAACATAAACGTTTCATATTGAAGCAGACTGAAAAATTAGAAAATAAATTGTATAGAAAATGCGGTTTACTGTTAAGTGAAAGTTATCCGTATATTTGTGCGTCACCAGACGGTGTAACTGATGATCATGTTGTTGAAATTAAAGCACCAAAAACGGATGAAGAATTCGAAAAATATTTAGTTGGGAAGGAAACTATTGCACCTAAATATATGGCACAAATTCAAATCCAAATGTATTTGGCAAATGTTACAAAAGCTCTGTATTGTGTTTTAAGTCCATCATTTGATACAAATGGTGCACTGCATTATGTTTGGGTACAAGCAGATATGGAAATGGTTGCAAGTTTATTAAGCCACGCCGAAGATTATTGGAAAGATGTTGTTTTTCCGAAATTAAAAAAAATCTATATGGACGAATAAATTTTAAGTTTTAAACTTTTCAATATAATTATTTTTAAACAAAATTTAGCATGGCTTTTAACTATAAATGACTAAATTTTTTAATTTCTTTTATACATTTATAGTATAGTTAATAATTAGGTATAAAGTATGAGAGTATGTAATTGAAATAGTTTTTTTTTTCGACAAATAAATATAGTTTTAATTTTACTTACCTTTTGCATATATTTGAAGAGAAATTATAGCTTTAGCTTGCCCATGGCAATTCGTTGCAATCACTGAATATGTACCAGTAAAATCTAATTTAGCACTTGGTATTTCAAGGCGATACTCTGGACCATCATCAACTGGATGAAAATGTGGTGCGTCTTTATAATATTCAGGCTATAAGAAGATAAATACATATTATTATAAAAAATATATCATACTAGGTTTCTTATATGTCTTAACAAATCCATTTCTAGAGAATAAAAATGAGTTTAATTGAAAAATCTTGTAATTATTTGAAAATATTTTCATTTTCAAACATCATTAATATTTTAATAAAGCTAATTTGCATAAATTTTCTTATTTAAATGTGCGTAGAGTTTTGAATAATTCAACAATTGCCAAAAAATTTTATTTCTACTTCGTTTTGCTGCGTTTTTTTTTAATAAATCAAATAAGTTAAATTTCTACAAGTTCATTTTGAAATAATTATAAATAACATTAATACACACAATATTTTAACAACTATTATTTTAATTACATATCCACAGTTATTTCTTAATTATCGCAATTATCTTTTCAATTTTTAATAATGCCACTAGGTTCCGTTTAATATTTAATTATTTCAGTGATATATAAAACCATTTGATCTTTAAGAATCTTTAAGAAATTTCAACCAAAAAGTATAGATATATCCCAAAATAAAGGAATTTTAAAAACAATGCCCATGATAGTATTATATTTACTTAATACTTAATATATATACCATAGTGTTAATCAATGGTAATTCATGATGTGTAATAGTACAATTTATATAATGTTTCATTCATGATAATTTAATTTTCATGTTTTGTTCATTGTTCGTTTATGTACTCTTGTAAAACAAATTCTCTATTTATTTAGCTACATATTTAAAAAAATAATTTAAACGAATTAACTGAAATATCTTAAAAATTTCTGATTGATTATTTCAGTTGAACATAGAAAAAAACAAATTTATTTTAATAACGAAATAAGTCCCAGAAGTATTTTTATATAATTATGTATATAAACAGAAAGTTGAAAAATAAAGAAAAATAATAAGACATTGCAAGGACGTATTGAATCAGGTTGTTAAATTAATATACCAAATACGGAAATAAAAATATTGGTTAAAATAAAATATTTTCCTTTTAAAAACTTTAAAAAAAGAACATTGGTTTTCAGTTAAATGACCCCATAAAATAATTATATTTGAGTTTTTATTATAGTAATTAAAAATTAATTTAAAGTAATAAATTACAAAACCTGAAAACAAATTAAAATTTTATATTAGAAACTCAATTTTATTAATATATTGTTAAAAAGAAATGCAGTTTTATGTAGGTACTTTGATTTTGAATGAAATATCAATTAAAATTTTAAATTAGGAAAAAAAACAATTTATGTTAGTATAAGTTATTTAATTAATATTAGCATATATTATTTATTTTTTAAAGCATTATTTTAATTTTGCTTGTTTAAAGACACTAATTTATAGTTTCTCAATGTAAGTGCCTATAGATCTTTTAAAACAAGAGACTCCAAATAAACGGATTAAAAATTGAATCCAACAGAATGCCTTAAAATGTCAATAACAAATGAAATTTTTTGTTATTTATAAATATTTATTTAAAATAATACTTATATTTTTTATACCAATATATAAAGAGCTCACAAATCTAATAGCAACATAAGTTTAACTATTTCCAAAATTAAATAAATTACAAAATAATTTAATGTTTACTTATTCGTTAATAAAAATCGTGTTAAAAATCTTCATATTTGGAAAGGTCTTAATTTAAATTAATTTATTTTTATTGAAATTAAACTGCATATTACAAATTTTTGAAAATGATATAATTAAAAATTTAAGTTTTCTTTTATGGTAAAGAGTAATTAAGTAAAACTATGTTGTACCTATACATAGTATATTTTGCAATGTGCTTAAATATATAAATATAAAAATAAATATTTAATTTGTGGTTTGTATTACATTTAAGATATTATGTATATTTAAACGAAAAACCAAATCTTTTATTAATTATAAGAAAATAGAAAAGGTTTTGAAATTTCACAGGTTTTCTTTTACAAAATGTGCATTTTCCTTTCTCAAAGAAGATCTTGCAATGAACTATGTTGAGACAAAAATTATTTTTATTTTAAATATTAAATAAATCTTTTAGACAAATTTTAATTACGATTGAATTAGAACATTAATTATTGTAAGAATTAAAACATTAAAATCTTTATTAGTGGTTCTAATTTTTTAGTCAGGCAATGTATACTAATTAATACAAATTGAAATTGTATATAAGCGCTTTCACTAAACACATTTCAGACATAAAGGCTAATTTTATTGTATATAAAATATTTCAGATTACTTGAACTGATTTAGGTTATTTGAATTAACATGAACATTTTTATATAAAAAAAAATCTTTTAAAGATTAGATAACGATAATCGTACGAATCGATTCAAAAGATAATTATAAATAATTTTATAAGTTAAAATCAAAATTAAATTTATTAAGTTATTGTATAAAATTAAAATATGAATTGATAAGTTAAGATTTAAAATAATTAGCATAACAAACACATATGTTCTACAAAAATCAATAATTTTATTAATAATATTAAATCATGAATGAAATAAAATAAATTTATTATCATTGAATTTTATAAAAATTTATTGATCAAATGATACAAAAAAAAAATTAAAATTGTTATGTATTTTTTTTTTATTCTGTTTTCTTATAATTTAACATTAAAAAAATTGCTATATGTGAATTAACTTTGGTAATACCTGATCAATAAAAAATAACAAAGTTGCTAAATGCTATTTCATGCTGTTGTTAAAACCAAATAAAGAAATTCTATTAAATTTCAATTATAAATTACAATGTTATGCTCACTATGCACATATATTGTGTGCATAGAAATATATATACATAATAACTGCACCAACTTAGTTCAAATTATTATACATATATAAATTTAAAGATCTTATTTCGAAAAATTACTATTACCGCTAGACATAAATCCATTTTTTTAGAAATAAATATATGTAAATGGATGTGAGTAATTGATTGCTCTCGAAACCTAAATTTTAAGATGTAGCATAAATACACCAAGAGCATTATTAATCAGATAATTTTTCTTATTTGGTAAACGATATGCTTATACTATCTAGTTTTGATCTAATTCATTAGAAATTCCGTTCCATGTTTAATAATATACGCAAGGGAATTGTAAAAGTTTGACTTGGTCAGTAATACGATTTGAATTGCCACATAAAGTAGATTCTGGATAAGTTGACACTTAGTCAAATCGTCACGCGAAACATAATTTATGGCATTTATTATACAAAATTTTTAAAACCAGGGCCCCATTATGCCAACAAGTTTTACTTTTGCTTTTTCGGTATTTTATTAGTATAGTTCATTAGTGTGTTCATTCTTTTTTTAACAGAAATTAATTTATCAAATAAATTTTAAAAGGTGTTGGTGTAACATAGTCCTATTGCTTTCAATTAAATACTGAACCCGAAAAATGTTTAAATTTCGAGAAATATTTACTATTTTTTTATGAAATAAAAATTTAAATTGAACTAAAAAGAAAATTATTATTAATATATTTTATATATTTTACCATATCATATTTTACCTTATTTAGTCAAACGAGATTTTTCTATAATATTTATTATTCATTTATGTGCATAATCTGTATTATTTTAATTTAAATATGTAAACACTTTATATGTGAACGTTTTTTGAATTTGAATTAAATTATTAATAAAGATTTTGTTATTATAATGTAGAAATATTCAAAACAAAATATAACAATATTTATTTATTCAAAACCAAAACATATACAATTTTTTTTTTTATTATTTTCATACACTTTTGGAGGGAATCTTTTCAAAATTTATTTTAAAAACAAAATTTTCAATTCCTTTTTATTTTTTTTTTAATTAAAACTTTTTTTTAAGACTATTTCTTTTATTTTATATAATATGTTTAAAAAGTTAAGACTTATTCACAATTTTGTGTATTAACAATAAAAAAAAATAAAAGAAAAACTTCAAATAAATAAAAATTTAATCGCGCGGAATTTGAAATTAAAACGCGTTTTTCTACTTCAAAATCTAAAAATGTAATGGTATACATTTTAAATTCTATTTTTTTTAAAAGTTAGAATGCAAGAAAAAAAAAGCAAAATGTCAATCCATCTTTGGGAAAATTGATTTATTTTTTTTTTTTGTTTTCTTTTTAGTAAGAAATTACAAAAATAATGAAAATAAAAAATAAAAAATAAATGAAAAATTGACGCTATAATTATTAAAAAATTCTATTTCAGTTTATATCACACTTAACCATAAATAATATTTATTTTAAATTATTCAATTTTATTATTTTATCGTATATCGTAAAGCTTTTTTTAACAGTTATAAGAGAATTGAATTTTAAAATCCGGACGGATAATTGATAAGATAAAGGGTAATTACTGAATTTTTTTTTTTCATTTAATAAGTGTATATGTATAAATGTTTTTATTGTTAATTTAGTGAAAAATACAAAATACACAGTTTGATCATCGCATAAAATACATTTTAATCTGTATATACAGTATGCAGTAGAATCGGGTTAATATCACATCGAAAAATGCATCGAACTTAGTGACGTTAACCGATAACCAAACTTAGTTTCCGTTATCCGATTACAATAAATGTAACGCTATTGAAAAAAATTTTTGTATTATTAAGTCTATTTGGAAATAAGCGAGTTGTGGTGCTATTCCATTCTACTTCATATTTACATATTTGCAAACTTTGAAATAAATGTAAATTGATTTGAATGCAATATACGTTAAGTTGCCGAATAATTCAAAATATTCGGCAATTTAAAATAGTTATAGCAATGCTCTAATTAAATGAAGTTAATATTACATATAAGAGGTAAGGTTACTTCCTCTTTTAATAAATTAATATTAAAATTTAAGATTATTTAAAAATTAGATTTCAGTGATCATGAAAAGAAACCTTTTAAAACATTAAGAATTATTACAAAAGCAATATAATGAATAAATCTATTTTATGGAATAATTTAATTTTACGTGTATGAATTTATATAGATACAAAATATAACAATATGTATGTAT